CTACTGTTCTTCTATTCCTCTGTGACCCCTGCATGTCAGGTCAGGCCAGCGGAGGTTGACAAAAAAAGAATAAACTAAGCATGGTCTGACAGGTCCTTAACGAGGTAGTTTTCATCTCGATTGTATGCGAATAAATATTAAAATATGAATACTAAATATAAAAAGGACTGAATATAAAATGCATGGATAAAAGGATTTTCACAGGGAAAGCTGAGCAGATAAAATTAAAAGAGCTAGAAGCGTTAAAATGAAGGGCTTTATCTCGCCTTAATGAGTCATACCTGGCGGGAGGAGTAAAACAAGCTCGTGACCCGCAAACAGCTGGGGATACTTTTAAGGCATATGGTAATGTTTATTTATTTGTAAGATTAAAATCAGATAAGGTTCACTACAAGATCGCTACCGCTGCACCACGCAACATATAAAGACGCATGTATATACATTTGATGTGTATGTTTCTGTATATGTAGGTATATATATATTTATATATAATGCATATATACATATATAATATATAATGTATTTATATGTATATAACTATATATGATATATGCATATATATAAACATATATTTGCATAAGTATATAACTATATATAATAAATGCATATATAAACATATATTTGCATATGTATATAACTATATATAATATATGCATATTTATAAACATATATTTATATATGTATATAAGTGTATGTATTATATTTACACATGTATATGTATATATATACAGAAATAAGTATATATAAATGTAAAATATATATTATATGTGCGTTATATGCATGTACATCTGTACATATATATATATATATATATATATATATATATATATGCATGTATATATACATATAATCACACGCACGCACACACACACACACACACATGCATATATATCAGGTAAAACTACGAGCTGTGAATTACACTGAACTTATAACTAGATAGAGAGAGATGAGATGGGTAATGAGCTTCGTAGTTACGGTTCTATTTATTTATTTATTATTATTTTTTTTTCTTAATGTGGTCTAAAAGTAATGGCAATAATTTTTGTAAGTAATCAAGGGTAACTACGCCCGTCTCTTATAAGGTAAGGTGATTAGGATACTGCCGTTATGCTTTGCAAATGAAATATGTAAATCAAATGTTAATGGCTATGGTTGTGGCAAGCTTTCTGAAACAAGCAAAATTATCAAGGATGGATTATCAGACCATTTTCTGACTCAGTTGAAACCAACAAGGGACACCTTGCATCTTTCCTAGAGTTGTCAACTAAGATACAGACTTCTATTCCAATGGGCAATTATATTCACAGGTTGACGAAGTTGCAATAAGTTCACCACTTGGTCTTAGTCATGGTAATGCTTTCTTGTGTCATTACAGAGTAAACTGGTTACAGCTATGTCCTCCCGAATCCAGGCCAATTTTCTACAAAAGATATATTGACGATACCTTCATGCTCTTCAAGCACAAATCACATGTAAAGTATCTTTACTGCCTAAACGCCCAACACTCCAGTATCTGGTTCATGTTTGAAATGGGACCAACTACCTTCTTTAGACACCCTAATTATCCCACCATTGTTTACCTTAAGCCAAATTCTCGGTTAGGGATGAATTTCCTTAATATTGCACCTCAAAAATATAAAATAAATGGCATTCGTCTTCTATTACACAGGGTTTTTAACATCTACAACACTTGGATGTTATTTAACAATGAATTCCTTTTCCTCACTAACTCACTAAGTTCATTTGCATTTACAAATAACCAAACCATAGGCACTTACAAAAAAAGCAAATACTACCCTTAGAAATAGGTTCTGATATCATTTACGCATTTTCTTGTCCTGGCTTTAATGCCAGGTATGCTGGATCAACCTTACGTTGGTTAAAGCACCGTATTTTAGAACATTTGGGAAGTCTGTAAGATCTGACTTTCCCCTCAGTAAACCAGCTTTCTCTGTGAACACACACACCAACAAAGATTTTGCATTCCGTGTACTACTTCCAACAGAAATGTCCTCCTAGTTTCAGAATCCTTGTCCATACACAGGAAGCAGCCAGAGCTGGAGTGCATGCAGTCTAACCATCTAACAAGTCATTTTGCCCTTCAAAGTTTCTTTTTTCTCGTTTGATTGCTGTTGCACCTTTATTTTCGACTGTATATATTCATGTGTTTATAATTCCATTATTGATTTAATTTTACATTAAGATATTCTGTGCGTATTATGTTTGCATTATTGCGATTTTTAACTTCTTTACTTTAACTGTTCTTGTAGTCTTGTAATCAAATACTATATATATGTGTGTGTGTGTGTGTACAGATATATATACATATATATGTGCACACTGACACATATATATATATTTATATATACATGTGTATGTCTGTGTGTTTGCTTGTATATATGTATATATTCGGTAAAAAAATCGTTACGACATGCCATCAAGGATATGCTAATAAAAATCTTGAAATAACTTCTTCATCTAACCCTACAGCGCCCTCCCAAGATGAAAATGAGATTGATACAAAGTCATTCCTTATTTTCAGAAATCTGTTCCCTTCCCGATACCAGAGCGAGTTGTTAATCCTTTAGGGGAAAAAAACGCGTTGATATGATTGACTAAAATTAACACCTTGTTCTGTATATCCTTATTATTTTCCATCATATTTTGTTACTGGTATCTGTAGTTATGTTTAAAACTTTGACGCTGTACACCTGTGGCCTTTGTGTCGTTTACTTCTCACGAGACCAACTTTCATCACGTTTAACTCTGAGCCACAGTTGTCGACAAGCCCTAGCTCTGGACGGAAGTACAGAGCGCCATGATTCCGAGGGGCGTCCTGTTGCTGGCGGTGTCAGCGATTTGGCTGAGTGGGTGTGTTCGCCCAGCGGCGTCGGTAGGATCCCGTTTCTTCTCATTGTTGGCGACCGATCTCAGCTTGCGTTTTCAAGTCATTATATGCTGTAGTCATTGTGTATATTTATATGCTGTAAGGCTTATGTATATTTGGTTTGTTTAACTGATCGTTTATATTGAGCATCATCGGAAGCACATACACACATGCAGATATTTATATCTATATAGAAAAATATGTATATATACATATACATATATATATATGCATATACACGTGTGTGTATATATATATACATACATATACATTTGCGCGTTTACATATATATGTGTGTGTATGTGTGCGCGTGGAACATTGCCACAGTAACAGCAAAATTAATACAGGACGTTTCGTCTAGCATTCCTTATCAGACATAGTAAATTTGCAAAAACTAATATTTGCCAACATACAATAGAAGACAAACACTGAATCAGGTCTCGTGAGGAAGGTCAAGGTAAAACAGTCCTAGTGAATTTGTAACAACTATTAACGGTGTAATGTCATCACTAACTGGTACATCGTGGAAGTGGACTCAAGATCTCTTCCAGTTTCGCCAATGAAACATTCAGCATTCTTTAAACGGAAACGAATAAATACTAGAGGAAGCAATAAGGGTACTGTTTGACACACTGTGCTTCACCGAAGCTTACTAGTTACGATTTACATTTAGTACAACACAGATTTCAGAATCGGATGTTTTTTCATTGTCAGTGAGTCGTTTGCATGATATTGCACTCGATGGTAAAAACAGGATGGATACTGTATGCTGTATAAAAGTTGCCTTAATAATCTGCTTCGCTCCCTAGACTGAAATAGATCTATATGACACTTATAGTTTTCTTTTTCTATGGTGTTTAACCCATTCACGCCGGGTGTCACGTATACGTGACGGGCCCACTGTGAGTTTACTTGTTTAATTGTTTTCAAACATAGATGGCTACACTTGTACTTGTACTGCCTGTGTCGTCTGTTTACCCTTTTCTTTAATTTATGAAAATATCTTACGTTATCTTATTTTGCTATTACTAATGTTTATAACATTAAAGTAATTAAATGTTTATAATAAAAATAACCATCGATATTCATAGCACTAGTAAAATACATTTTCCCGCCAATTCAAGGAAAGGTGAAATCAGGTAAGGCAGAGCCATCTAGTGTAGAGACATTTCATTAAAAAATATAAAAAAATGAGCACAGAATTTTCCCCATTTTTTGTTCATTTTTACCCGGTGCGAATGGGTTAAAATCACGGTATCATCCTCATCTTCATCCATATACTTTCAAAGGTTCCTGTTAATTCTTTTAGCAGTTCCTAGAAGTAAAATTTGTAAATATTCTATAAGACAAAGGCTAGTGCTTCCCTCCTTCCGACAGTTTCATGTTTCCGGATCCGAAATTAATACCCTTTTTTAGTGTAGAATTTAATCAGCTTTTGAATACCTTTACCTGACGATATTTTTTTTTCCTTTAGATTAATATTAATACTTGACATCTCAATATCCTATATCACTTAGATTAGAGGATCTTTTCTACTTCCTGTTTCCTTTCTGCTTGGATAAGTAAAATGTTCCTCTACCATTTAGAAAGGAAAAATAGATATACATACAAACACTTTCATTTGAAGAAAACAAAGTCTTGTTTGATTTTTTTTTCGAAAAGTCATCCTCTCCCACCTGACCCCCACGGTTTGATATTTGGACAGAGAAGAGTTAAATAAACATTTGTTTTTGATGATCGTGTCTCGCTCTACTGACATCAGATTGAGTCGATATAAGTCAAAATGAATTGATGAATGAAAAAATAAAGTCAAATCCAGTTGTCCACGATAAAGGAAAAATGAGAGAATATAAGACTAAGAAGGAATGTTCTCCTTCAATAGAGTCCTGGCGGATATACACGAACAGAATTCATTGTGGTAAATGTAGATAAACTTTTTTGAACGCTTCTCGACGCACAAGTGAGACGCATTGATTATTATTTTTATTTACGAGATGGTCTAGTCGAAATGAATAAATGCCATTCGTTGTCTTCTTATGTCTGAGGGATGATTATAATCAAACTGGCTCGAGTAAGTAAGTTCAATGTTTACAAGCACGTTTGGTTGCAATAGGAGTACTGTCCTCGATCATTATTGATTTTTAATCGATATATTCAGCCATTACTGATGTTATATAGCTCATGGTTGCTTTGCATAATTCCTTTTCATGTCGAAGGGGGCTGTTAAGGGCATTGAATGCAGTAGGAAAATTGGACGCTGCGTTCCCGAGAGGCGCTGCAGCCAGGCCGTGCCCAATGCTGCATGTGACAAAGATGGACACGTATGTTGCAAAAGAGATTCCGGTAAGTGGACACGGACGTTTCTGAGTAAAAGTCGATGCACGTTCCCCTTCTGTCTGGACAGAAAGTTACACACAAACACAAACGCACACACACACATTATATATATACTATATATATGTATATATGTACATATACATATAGTATGTATATATATGCATATATATATATACTGTGTGTGTGTGTGCATATATGCATATGAATATATATATATATATATATATATATATATATATATATATATATATATGTACATACATACATTCAGATGTATGGAAATTATATGTGTGTGTGGGTATGTACATATACACACACATATATATATTGATATATATGTATGTATACATGTGTATATGGATGTATATGTATACATGTTCATATATATATATATACATATGCATACATATCTCAATGCCGCCGGGGAAAATGAATAAAAAATGGGGAAGATGCTGTGCTCATTTTCTATATTTTTTTGTGAAATGTCTCTGCATATAGATGGCTCTGCTAGTGCTTAGCCACAAAGAAGTCAATTAGTAGACCTTGTGACCTTACGTGATGGTAATGAATGCTATGTATATCGATGCTGTTACTTTTATTATGAACATTATAATTACTATAATATTATAAATATTAGTAACAGCAAAATAAGATAATGTAGAATATTTTCGTAAATCAAAGAAAAGGGTAAACGGGCGGGACAGGCAGTACTCGTAATTGGCTCATTGGTGACTTAGTACAAGTGTAGCCATCTATGTGTAAAAACAATCAAACAACTCACAGTGGGCATAGCACGTACGTACACGTGCACGGGTTGAATGTGTGTGGGGGGAAGGTATGTACACACACACATATATGTATGTATAGATGTGTATATATGTATATATGTTCATATATATACATGGTAGAAAAACCCACAATGTAAAAACTAGATTTATTGATTTATTGTTAAGTTTTTACATTGTGGGTTTTTCATAATTCATATATATACATATGCATACATATATGTGGGGGGTATGTACACATGCACACACACAAATATATATGTATATATAATGTATACATGTGTATATAGATGTATAAATATATATTTGCATATGTTCATATATATGCATATGCATACACATATTTGTGTGTGTGTGTGCATGTGCCCATACTGTATACATATATATACATGTACATATATACATTATAAGTTTGTATATCTCCAGTTGTAGGCCGAAGAAAACCCAAGTTCAGAAAAAACATAGGAGGTCAGGGAAACCAAGCTAAAATGATGAAAAACGAAATAAATGAAAAAAAACAGAAAGGAAATAATAAACGAAGACCTGGGGAAACAGGCGACAAGAAAACATCTCGAAGAAATGGGAAGAAACGTGTCGGAACGAAAATACAAATTCCTGATAAGAAAAGGACTGGAAAACAAGGTAAATATGTAACTGTTGGGTGCATTCTTTATATCAAAATATGCATATATATATATATATATATATATATATATATATATATATATAAATATATATATATTCATCTATGTACTATATATATAATATATATATATATTATATATTGTATATGTATATATATAAATATATATATATATATTATATATTGTATATGTATATATATAAATATATATATGCATACACACGTACATACATATGTGCACACATATAAATATATATATATATATATGTGTGTGTGTGTTTGTGCATTAGACGCCCATTTTTTTAATGTATAAAAAAATGCCCTACGTTTAATGCGGCCGTATTACGAACGGGAGCCCGAGCGCCGTAGGCTAGGGCGAGCACACTGGGTAAGTTCGATAGGCACAAAAATTGTATATATATATGTATGTATGTATATACATACACACATATATATGTGTGTGTGTGTATGCGTACGTATAATAATAATAATAATAATCAGTTCATTGATTCTCATGCAGCCAGGAGATGAAAATATACATAGTAATAGAGAAAACAGACAAACTACACATATATGGGGGGGGGGGGGGGCGGTTCATTGACTCGTTAATAATAAGTCGGACTATAGTGGGTATTATGCTCCAGTGGTAGCGGTCAGTGAGGGCCTGATGGGCACCAGTTTGCTGGCGGCGCGTAGGGCTCGGCGAGGCGGAGGAGCCTCGGGGGCAGCAGGTCGCGGTGGCGTGGATGGCACAGCACACACACACACATATATGTATGTATGTGTATGTATGTATCCATATTTATATGTATATATATGTATATATACATATATATGTGTATTTAAATATATACATATTTATAAATATGTGTGACTATATGTATATATACATATATATATATAAATACATATGTATATATATACTCTATGTATGCATAAATATGTATATACATAAATATATAAACAATATATATGATGTGTATATTTATACAGCATATATACATATATACATCTATATATATATATATACATATATATACATTTATTTGTGTCAGTGAATGAGCTGAGATTGAAACAATAGACCAAATTGTGAAAGAAGTGTAGGATTGATCACTTGTATTAAAGATAGCGGAAAATAGCGGGGAGTGTCTCGATTCCATCTCACTTTGTTTTTATTGTATTCGTCATAACGATCATTGCGTTATAATTAGTAAGCAAAGGGAGGGTTGAAGTTAACTTGACTGTAGATTTAAATTGATTTAGCCAAAGAATGTTCCTATCCTTGTCTGATATATATGATTGCTAATATAAAACACACTGTAATGTGCCACCTGTTTATTATTATTCACTTATGAAATATAAGAAATATAATTGGTTAAAGCTGTTTTTTTTATGATCGTTGTATCTTTGGCACATACTAGGCAGAGGAATCAATTCTCAAGCCTTAAGACTGTTAAGTCATTCTACTCAAATTAAGATTAGCCAAGTCAAAATTGAATTCAGGAGTTAATGATTAACCCATTCGCGCCGGGCGTCACGTATACGTGACGGGCCCACTGTGAGTTTACTTGTTTGATTGTTTACAAACACAGATGGCTCCACTTGCACTTGTACTGCCTGTCTCGTCTGTTTACCCTTTTCTATAATTTACGAAATTATTTTGCGTTATCTTATTTTGCTGTTACTAATGTTTATAACATAGTAATTATAATGTTTGTAATAAAAATAACCATCGATATTCATAGCACTAGTAAAAATACATTTTCCCGCCAAATGAAGTCAAGTAAAGCAGAGCCATCTAGTGTAGAGAAATTTCATTGAAAAATATAAAAAATGAGCATAGCATTTCCACCATTTTTTATTCATTTTTACCCGGCGCGAATGGGTTAAGCCTACCAAGAATGGGTGGGCTGGCCAGAAAAAGCTACCATTGGCGCAGTTTCTGGATTGCAGAAGACATCTGTAGACTGGGGAGGGAATCAAGGCACACCGCTGCTTGGCCCCAAGGCTATCGCTTCCGAGTGGATTTCCAAAAGGGGCAAATGAAGCGGTTGAGTAGTGTAGTGTATAAGTTGAGAATAGTAAGTTAGAAAATGTGATTGCAGAAAAGAGATTAACAAAAGTGTTGTAGCTGCAAGAGTCTCCATAAGAAAATTGTTTTTGATTAAAGTGTATCAAAAGTAGTAAGCAGGGTTAGAATTAGTAAATGCTATGATGTGCCAGATTATTTTGTTTGATTTTCTATACAAATGAGAATTACTTTTACTGATGGATGTTTGTATTTACTTCCTGCGTATTGATTTCTCTCTGTTATGAGTCTTGTACACACACACGCACACATATATATACATATATATATGTATATATATTTTTTTTTCACTAATATTTGCTATATTAATATCTTTCGAAGGGGGGACACATGTCGAGATCGCCATCTAAAAGGTGCATTGGTTACAATTGTAAAAATGTCTAAACCTCATCAAAATGTTTAATCGTTTTTATTTTGAAAACCTATTAATAGAACAAAATTAATTTCAAAGTTAATAGAGTAAATTGTAATGATCATTATAGTTTTGCTTAAATATTCATATTTCCTATTTCAATAGGTGGAGGGTAATCAGCAGTTTTGCCATTACCTCCAATGTCAGACGAGTTTATTGCTTATTCCCTCGTGCAGAGAAAGGAAAGGTTAGGAAAAGTTCGTGGTGAGAATAAATACATCATGATTCCGTCAGCCCAATCTCCGTTTTTTTTTTTTTTTCTTTTTTTTTCCTCTCTCTTTGCGTGGATACAGTGAAATTAGTCAAGGGAGACAAATCCGACTGTGTCAAGGACGAATTGAAATAGGAACAATAGATCAAAGTAAAGTGTAGGATTGATTACTTTTTCCTACAATAAAAAAATAACTGGAAATACTGGCGACTAGATTGGGGAATAAATTCTATCCACCCCATGAGCCTCAAGACCGTGCAACCATGCTACTCAAAATAAAATCAGGTAAGTCAAAATAGGGATTTCTCAAGATTTCCTTAAACTCCAAACCCCCAGGTGGTGACGGCAATACCGAGGTAATATAATAATTGGCCTTAGAATTAATCTTGACAAATTGTCAGTAGTATTTTAGTTTCTTTTTCTTAGAGAAAATCGCGATACACACATATGTATATGTGTGTATATAAATGTGTGTATGTATATATTTATATGCATAAATATATGCATATATTATGATATATTATGTCATCACTAGCTTATGTTCTCTGTTCAAAGCAATACAAACCTCCCTAAATCTTTATCTTTTCTGATTTTCCAAAGGTTCCATAAAATGTACGAAGGAGTATGGAAGATGTAGGTCTAAATGTCGCGGTGATATTGATAAAGAAAGAGCGTGTCCCAACGGCAAAGTGTGCTGTAGAAAGCGAAGAACTCGGAACCAAGCTATAGTTAAGGCAAAAAACAATGCTTGCACAGGAGCAGGAGGAGTTTGCAAGAAACCTAACAAAAAGTGCAAAGAGCCTCTTTCCTTTGAGTGTCCGAACAAAGATAGAATCTGCTGCAAGAAAACCAACAAGTGCACATCGAATGGCTTCAAATGTGTACAAAAATGTAGAGGAACGACCAAGCAATTCAATGGTTGTAAGCAAGGAAAAGTCTGCTGCAAGCAAGCAAAAGAAATGACCTGCAAACAAATAGGCGGAAATTGTAAAGAAAAAGCAAAATGCAAAACGGAAATCCTAAATCCCGACAAGAAATGCAAAGATGCAAAGGTTTGTTGCAAACAAGTAAATAATTGCCAAGCCCTAGGAGCAAAATGTCGAAAGGAAGCTAAATGCAACGGGAAAATATTGACTCCCTCTGTACCATGCAAGAATGGTAGAGTCTGTTGTGAAAAGGGAAATAAATGCAAAGATCTAAAAGGTACATGTCGAGAGGAAGCCAAATGCGACGGGAAAATATTGACTCCCTCTATACCATGTAAGGATGGTAAAGCCTGTTGTGAAAAGGGAAATAGATGCAAAGATCTAAAAGGTACATGTCGGGAGGAAGCCAAATGCGACGGGAAAATATTGACTCCCTCTATACCATGTAAGGATGGTAAAGCCTGTTGTGAAAAGGGAAATAAATGCAAAGATCTCAAAGGTACATGTCGAGAGGAAGCCAAATGCAGCGGGAAAATATTGACTCCCTCTATACCATGTAAGGATGGTAAAGCCTGTTGTGAAAAGGGAGATAAATGCAAAGATCTCAAAGGTACATGTCGAGAGGAAGCTAAATGCGACGGGAAAATATTAACTCCCTTTATACCATGTAAGGATGGTAAAGCCTGTTGTGAAAAGGGAGATAAATGCAAAGATCTCAAAGGTACATGTCGAGAGGAAGCCAAATGCGACGGGAAAATATTGACTCCCTCTATACCATGTAAGGATGGTAAAGCCTGTTGTGAAAAGGGAGATAAATGCAAAGATCTAAAAGGTACATGTCGAGAGGAAGCCAAATGCGACGGGAAAATATTGACTCCCTCTATACCATGTAAGGATGGTAAAGCCTGTTGTGAAAAGGGAGATAAATGCAAAGATCTCAAAGGTACATGTCGAGAGGAAGCCAAATGCAGCGGGAAAATATTGACTCCCTCTATACCATGTAAGGATGGTAAAGCCTGTTGTGAAAAGGAAACAACTTGTAAATCATTGAACGGACTGTGTAAACAGGAAGCTGAATGTGAAAGCAAAGTGTTAAGTCCCAGCAAGGAGTGCAATGCTGGTAAGGTATGCTGCTTAGTCCGTACCTGTAGCGACAGAGGAGGGAAGTGTAAGAAAGAAGGAAACTGTAACGGCAGAATCGTCACGGTGAAGAAGCCATGTACAGAATCCAAAGTCTGTTGTCTAGGTAAGTAAAACAAAATCACGTAAAGTACAGACCTACACGCATTTATGCATTTACTTTACCAGACAGATTAGTTTGTCCTGTGTATATACACATATCTGTAAAGTTCCATCAATTTTATTGATTTATTGCAGTGTTGTAGATTTAAACACCGCTACAATATGAACAAAATAAAAGCGTAACGTTTCGAACTCGACAAAAGCAGTAAACGCCCAATGGATGAACTGTTTCATTTCAATTTTTGCTAAAGATCAAATCGTAACAGGTGCGAAAGGTTATAGTTATTTCGTTCATTTTGTAGCAGTGTTTCTTCCCGTCTCTGTGTACTTTGTGTGTTCATTATGATTAGCATGACTATAATAATGATGAAATACGAATATCAATAATGCCATTAACAATGATGATAACATTAACATAAAAATACAAAAAAGGTACTGGCAATTTAGACCGTAAATAAAGTTAAAGACATTATGAACTAGATCCCATTAATAACAATTAAGTTGAAGAAATAAAAGAAGAATCGACATCTTCAGCACATTAGACAAAAAAACTTTTCTTACATTGAAATGTATTTCTATGATGATTTTGGTAATGATGTGTATCACTGATAGTCTTTGTTCAATTACCAGAGAAAAATAACCAAAGCACAACGATCACCCCGACACTTGGACCACAACCACAAACCACGTCTGGACCGCAGCCGCAAACCTCTCCTGGACCGCAACCACAAACCACCCCTGGACCGCAACCGCAAACCACCCCTGGACCGCAACCACAAACCACCCCTGGACCGCAACCACAAACCACCGCTGGATCGCAACCGCAAACCACCCCTGGACCACAACCACAAACCACCCCTGAACCGCAACCAGAAACCACCGCTGGACCGCATCCACAAACTTCTCCTGGATCGCAACCACAAACCACCGCTGGACCACAACCACAAACCACCCCTGGACCACAACCACAAACCACCCCTGGACCGCAACCACAAACCACCCCTGGACCGCAACCACAAACCACCCCTGGACCGCAACCACAAACCACCCCTGGACCGCAACCACAAACCTATCCTGGACCGCAACCACAAACCACCCCTGGACCGCAACCACAAACTTCTCCTGGACCGCAACCACAAACCACCCCTGGACCACAACCACAAACCACCGCTGGACCACAACCACAAACCAACCCTGGACCACAACCACAAACCTCCGCTGGACCACAACCACAAACCACCGCTGGACCACAACCACAAACCACCCCTGGACCGCAACCGCAAACCTCTCCCGGACCGCAACCGCAAACCACCCCTGGACAGCAACCGCAAACCTCTCCCGGACCGCAACCGCAAACCACCCCTGGACAGCAACCGCAAACCACCGCTGGACCACAACCACAAACCAACCCTGGACCACAACCACAAACCTCCGCTGGACCGCAACCACAAACCACCGCTGGACCGCAACCACAAACTACCCCTGGACCGCAACCACAAACCACCACTGGACCGCAACCACAAATCACCCCTGGACCGCAACCACAAACCACCGCTGGACCGCAACCACAAACCACCGCTGGACCACAACCACAAACCACCGCTGGACCGCAACCACAAACCACCCCTGGACCACAACCACAAACCGCCGATGGACCGCAACCACAAACCACCCCTGAACCACAACCACAAACCACCGCTGGACCACAACCACAAACCAACCCTGGACCACAACCACAAACCTCCGCTGGACCACAACCACAAACCACCGCTGGACCGCAACCACAAACCACCCCTGGACCGCAACCACAAACCACCCCTGGACCGCAAACACAAACTACCCCTGGAACGCAACCACAAACCACCGCTGGACCGCAACCACAAACCACCGATGGACCACAACCACAAACCACCCCTGGACCGCAACCACAAACCACCCCTGGACCACAACCACAAACCGCCGATGGACCACAACCACAAACCACCCCTGGACCGCAACCACAAACCACTGCAACTTCCACTACAACTACTGCAGATACAACAACGATTGCAGACACAATAGATACAACGACTGCAGATACAACCACTTCAGATACGACTGCAGATACAACTGCCGTAGATACAACAACGACTGCAGATACAACAACTGCCGCAGATACGACGACTGCAGATACAACAACTACCGCAGATACAACAACGATTGCAGATACAACAACTACTGCAGATACAACAACTACTGCAGATATAACAACTACCGCAGATACAACGACTGCAGATACAACAACTACTGCAGATACAACAACTGCCGCAGATACAACGACTGCAGATACAACGACTGTAGATACAACTACTACAGATATAACAACGACTGCAGATACAACAACTACTGCAGATACAACGACTGCAGATACAACAACTACTGCAGATACAACGACTGCAAATACAACAACTACTGTAGATACAACGACTGCAGATACAACAACGACTGCAGATACAACTGCTGCAGATACAACTACTACAGATATAACAACTACTGCAGATACAACTACTGCAGATACAATTACTGTAGATACAACGACTGCAGATACAACAACTACTGCAGATACAACGACTGCAGATACAACAACTACTGCAGATACAACGACTGTAGAAACAACAACGACTGTAGATACACCAACTACTACAGATATAACTACCGCAGATACAACTACCGCAGATACAACGACTGCAGATACAACAACTACTGCAGATACAACGACTGCAGATACAACAACAACTGCAGATACAACAACTACTACAGATATAACAACTACCGCAGATACAACGACTGCAGATACAACAACTACTGCAGATACAACAACTGCCGCAGATACAACGAGTGCAGATACTACGACTGTAGATACAACAACTACTACAGATATAACACCGACTGCAGATACAACAACTACTGCAGATACAACGACTGCAGATACAACAACTACTGCAGATACAACGACTGCAGATACAACAACTACTGCAGATACAACGACTGAAGATTCAACAACGACTGCAGATACAACAACTGCCGCAGATACAACTACTACAGATATAACAACTACTGCAGATACAACGACTGCAGATACAACAACTACTGCAGATACAACGACTACCGCAGATACAACTACTACAGATATAACAACTACTGCAGATACAACGACTGCAGATACAACAACGACTGCAGATACAACAACTACCGCAGATACAACGACTGCAGATACAACGACTGCAGATACGACTGTAGATACAACAACTACTACAGATATAACAACTACCGCAGATACAACTACTACAGATATAACAACGACTGCAGATACAACAACTACTGTAGATACAACGACTGCAGATACAACAACTACTGCAGATACAACGACTGCAGATACAACAACTACTGCAGATACAACAACTGCCGCAGATACAACTACTACAGATATAACAACTACTGCAGATACAACGACTGCAGATACAACAACTACTGCAGATACAACAACTACTGCAGATACAACGACTGCAGATACAACTACTACAGATATAACAACTACTGCAGATACAACAACTACTGCAGATACGACTACCGCAGATACAACTACTACAGATATAACAACTACTGCAGATACAACAACTACTGCAGATACAACAACTACTGCAGATACAACGACTGCAGATACAACTACTACAGATATAACAACTACTGCAGATACAACAACTACTGCAGATACGACTACCGCAGATACAACTACTACAGATATAACAACTACTGCAGATACAACACCTACTACAGATACAACAACTACTGCAGATACAACGACTACCGCAGATACAACGACTGCAGATACAACGACTGCAGATACGACTGTAGATACAACAACTACTACAGATATAACAACTACCGCAGATACAACTACTACAGATATAACAACGACTGCAGATACAACAACTACTGTAGATACAACGACTGCAGATACAACAACTACTGCAGATACAACGACTGCAGATACAACAACTACTGCAGATACAACAACTGCCGCAGATACAACTACTACAGATATAACAACTACTGCAGATACAACGACTGCAGATACAACAACTACTGCAGATACAACAACTACTGCAGATACAACGACTGCAGATACAACTACTACAGATATAACAACTACTGCAGATACAACAACTACTGCAGATACGACTACCGCAGATACAACTACTACAGATATAACAACTATTGCAGATACAACACCTACTACAGATACAACAACTACTGCAGATACAACGACTACCGCAGATACAACGACTGCAGATACAACGACTGCAGATACGACTGTAGATACAACAACTACTACAGATATAACAACTACCGCAGATACAACTACTACAGATATAACAACGACTGCAGATACGACAACTACTGCAGATACAACGACTGAAGATACAACAACTACTGCAGATACAACGACTGCAGATACAACAACTACTGCAGATACAACGACTGCAGATACAACTACTGCAGATACAACAACTACTGCAGATACGACGTCTACCGCAGATACAACTACTACAGATATAACAACTATTGCAGATACAACGACTACCGCAGATACAACGACTGCAGATACAACAACGAATGTAGATACAACACCTACTACAGATATAACAACTACCGCAGATACAACTACCGCAGATACAACGACTGCAGATACAACGACTACCGCAGATACAACGCCTGCAGATACAACGACTGCAGATACGACTGTAGATACAACAACTACTACAGATATAACAACTACCGCAGATACAACTACTACAGATATAACAACGACTGCAGATACGACAACTACTGCAGATACAACGACTGTAGATACAACAACTACTACAGATATAACAACGACTGCAGATACGACAACTACTGCAGATACAACGACTGAAGATACAACAACTACTGCAGATACAACGACTGCAGATACAACAACTACTGCAGATACAACGACTGCAGATACAACTACTGCAGATACAACAACTACTGCAGATACAACGACTGCAGATACAACAACTGCCGCAGATACAACGACTGCAGATATAACAACTACTGCAGATACAACGACTGCAGATACAACGACTGTAGATACAACAACTACTACAGATATAACAACTACCGCAGATACAACTACTACAGATATAACAACGACTGCAGATACAACAACTACTGCAGATACAACGACTGCAGATACAACAATTGCCGCAGATACAACGACTGCAGATACAACGACTGTAGATACAACTACTACAGATATAACAACTACTGCAGATACAACTACTACAGATATAACAACGACTGCAGATACGACAACTACTGCAGATACAACGACTGCAGATACAACAACTACTGCAGATACAACGACTACCGCAGATACAACTACTACAGATATAACAACTACTGCAGATATAACAACTACTGCAGATTCAACGACTGCAGATACAACAACGACTGTAGATACAACTACCGCAGATATAACTACTACAGATATAAGAACAGATACAACAACTACTGCAGATACGACTTCCGCAGATACAACGACTGCAGATACAACAACGACTGCAGATACAACTACTACAGATATAACAACTACCGCAGATACAACGACTGCAGATACAACAACTACTGCAGATACAACGACTGCAGATACAACAACTACTGCAGATACAACGACTGCAGATACAACAACTACTGCAGATACAACAACTACTGCAGATACAACGACTGCAGATACAACAACTACTGCAGATACAACAACTACTGCAGATACAACGACTGCAGATACAACAACGACTGCAGATACAACGACTGCAGATACAACAACTACTACAGATATAACAACTACTGCAGATACAACGACTGCAGATACAACAACTACTGCAGATACAACAACTACTGCAGATACAACGACTGCAGATACAACAACAACTGCAGATACAACGACTACCGCAGATACAACTACCGCAGATACAACTACTACAGATATAACAACTACCGCAGATACAACGGCTGCAGATACAACGACTGCAGATACAACAACTACTGCAGACACAACGACTGCCGCAGAGACAACTACTACAGATATAACAACTACTGCAGATACAACGACTGCAGATACAACGACTGCAGATACAACAACTACTGCAGACACAACGACTGCAGATACAACAACTGCCGCAGATACGACGACTGCAGATACAACAACTACCGCAGATACAACGACTGCAGATACAACAACTACTGCAGACACAACAACTTCCGCAGATACAACGACTACTGCAGCCGCAACTACAACCGTACCTACCACCACTAGTGCCATAAACGTAGCTGCATGACTTCTTGAGCTTACAAACATCGACCCGGTTTTGGAGGATCTGGGAGCGGCCCTGGACGAGGCCAGCGACGACACCGTCGACAGCACGGGCCGGAGGAGGGTTCGGAGGGCGGCCGTTGATGCCTCTACAACTGATGCCTCTACAACTGATGCCTCTACAACTGATGCCACCACAACTGATGCCTCTACAACTGATGCCACCACAACTGATGCCTCTACAACTGATGCCACCACAACTGATTCCTCTACAACTGATGCCACCACAACTGATGCCACGACAACTGATGCCACCACAACTGATGCCACGGCAACTGATGCCTCTACAACTGATGCCACCACAACTGATGCCTCTACAACTGATGCCACCACAACTGATGCCTCTACAACTGATGCCTCTACAACTGATGCCACCACAACTGATGCCACCACAACTGATGCCTCTACAACTGATGCCACCACGACTGATGCCTCTACAACTGATGCCACCACGACTGATGCCTCTACAACTGATGTCACCACGACTGATGCCTCTACAACTGATGCCACCACAACTGATGTCACCACGACTGATGCCTCTACAACTGATGCCACCACAACTGATGCCTCTACAACTGATGCCACCACGACTGATGCCTCTACAACTGATGCCAACACAACTGATGCCACCACAACTGATGCCTCTACAACTGATGCCACCACAACTGATGCCTCTACAACTGATGCCACCACAACTGATGCCACCACAACTGATGCCTCTACAACTGATGCCACCACAACTGATGCCTCTACAACTGATGCCACCACAACTGATGCCACTACAACTGATGCCACTACAACTGATGCCACAACAACTGATGCCACTACAACTGATGCCACAACAACTGATGCCTCTACAACTGATGCCACCACAACTGATGCCTCTACAACAGATGCCACCACAACTGATGCCACTACAACCGATGCCACTACAACTGATGCCACAACAACTGATGCCACTACAACTGATGCCACCACAACTGATGCCAGTATAATTGATGTCACCACAACCGATGCCACTACAACTGATATCACCACAACCGATGCAACTACAACGGATGCCACCACAACGGATGTCACCACAACCGATGCAACTACAACGGATGTCACCACAACCGATGCAACTACAACGGATGTCACCACAACCGATGCCACTACGGCAGATTCCACAACCACGGGTTCCACATCTGAATCAACCACAAGCGACTCCACAGCCTCCGGCCCCAGCACAACACCGTCTCAGGACCGAATCGACGCCGAAGACTTGCTCACCAGGTTCATCCTGCTTCTCGGCAACCTCGAAGCCTCTGTCGACGACGAAAACACCTCACAGATGACCGACGGCACCATCACCGTCAGAAGCATTATCCTCGAACCAGGGCGATTCTGCCGCAAGCTCGAGGCGACACACAGCAGCTGCTGGACAAGATCAGAAACGTTACCCTGCCCACACTGGCACCTTAAAGGATAAAATAAAGCGACTCGCGTAGGTATGCATATATATGTATATGAATTCGCACACATATAAGCTGTATGTTTGTGTATATCAGACTGAATACTACGATATTCACGAATTTCAGACTGAAATGATATACTTTCGTTTATTACGATTACTTATTGGTTGCTTAAAGTTTTAAAGAATCCCATTTAATTAAATGTGGCTGGAATGACATACAAACGTGAATATTTACAGAAAAAAGAAATACGATTAGTGAAAAAGGGAAATGACCTTTGCTAAGGTGCCGGGCCATGTCATCGCTTTCTATTGAAATATTATGATTAAATAAATACTTAAAAATTAATTAAGATGTGTTTTTTTTCCCTATTTTAAAGTATATTATACATTGATACATGCAATAAAGTCCTAGGTATGTAAATAATAAATCAATAATTAAAATGCCGTGCCAGTGGAGGCCACGGTGATCACTTGTTATGGGATTTGTTCAGTTTTCACTAACCTAGGCAGCTATAAATGAAAGGAAAGTTAGGGAAGATTTTTTTATGAATTAGCAAAAAAAACATATTGTTTCCTGGTTTCTGTATCAAATTTGTTTTACTCTAGTTGAACTATTTATGAAGTTATAATGAAAGCAGTTTGTGTGCTCTCAGGTACATTTTTTAAAGACATAGAATTTAATATATATTTGAGCTAATTCCAAACTATAATTTTGGATCTAAAGAGTACACAGATGGAATATATTATCATTTAACAAGTAAACCTTGATGCAGAAAAAATATAAATGACACAAACCAGCCGGATATCCTCTTTACTTTACTCATCAAATTATCTAATTTTAAAATTTATAATAATCACAAAGTAGGATGTTTGTGGTTGTGTTTTTTTTTTCATTAATACTTTTTTTCCTCACATATATATGAAAATATACATATATATTAATTTGCCTATATTACACACATATATATGTGTATATATACTATATCTATATCTGTATTTATACATAAATACATATACATATACCTTATCTTTCTCTCTCTCTTAAATATATATATATATATATATATATATATATATATATATATATATATATATATATATATATATATATATATATATATATATATATATATATATATATATATATATATATATATATATATATATATATATATATATATTTAAGAGAGAGAGAAAGATAAGGTATATGTATATGTATTTATGTATAAATACAGATATAGATATAGTATATATACACATATATATGTGTGTAATATAGGCAAATTAATATATATGTATATTTTCATATATATGTGAGGAAAAAAAGTATTAATGAAAAAAAAAAAAACACAACCACAAACATCCTACTTTGTGATTATTATAAATTTTAAAATTAGATAATTTGATGAATAAAGTAAAGAGGATATCCGGCTGGTTTGTGTCATTTATATTTTTTCTGCATCAAGGTTTACTTGTTAAATGATAATATATTCCATCTGTGTACTCTTTAGATCCAAAATTATAGTTTGGAATTAGCTCAAATATATATTAAATTCTATGTCTTTAAAAAATGTACCTGAGAGCACACAAACTGCTTTCATTATAACTTCATAAATAGTTCAACTAGAGTAAAACAAATTTGATACAGAAACCAGGAAACAATATGTTTTTTTTGCTAATTCATAAAAAAATCTTCCCTAACTTTCCTTTCATTTATAGCTGCCTAGGTTAGTGAAAACTGAACAAATCCCATAACAAGTGATCACCGTGGCCTCCACTGGCACGGCATTTTAATTATTGATTTATTATTTACATACCTAGGACTTTATTGCATGTATCAATGTATAATATACTTTAAAATAGGGAAAAAAAACACATCTTAATTAATTTTTAAGTATTTATTTAATCATAATATTTCAATAGAAAGCGATGACATGGCCCGGCACCTTAGCAAAGGTCATTTCCCTTTTTCACTAATCGTATTTCTTTTTTCTGTAAATATTCACGTTTGTATGTCATTCCAGCCACATTTAATTAAATGGGATTCTTTAAAACTTTAAGCAACCAATAAGTAATCGTAATAAACGAAAGTATATCATTTCAGTCTGAAATTCGTGAATATCGTAGTATTCAGTCTGATATACACAAACATACAGCTTATATGTGTGCGAATTCATATACATATATATGCATACCTACGCGAGTCGCTTTATTTTATCCTTTAAGGTGCCAGTGTGGGCAGGGTAACGTTTCTGATCTTGTCCAGCAGCTGCTGTGTGTCGCCTCGAGCTTGCGGCAGAATCGCCCTGGTTCGAGGATAATGCTTCTGACGGTGATGGTGCCGTCGGTCATCTGTGAGGTGTTTTCGTCGTCGACAGAGGCTTCGAGGTTGCCGAGAAGCAGGATGAACCTGGTGAGCAAGTCTTCGGCGTCGATTCGGTCCTGAGACGGTGTTGTGCTGGGGCCGGAGGCTGTGGAGTCGCTTGTGGTTGATTCAGATGTGGAACCCGTGGTTGTGGAATCTGCCGTAGTGGCATCGGTTGTGGTGACATCCGTTGTAGTTGCATCGGTTGTGGTGACATCCGTTGTAGTTGCATCGGTTGTGGTGACATCCGTTGTGGTGGCATCCGTTGTAGTTGCATCGGTTGTGGTGATATCAGTTGTAGTGGCATCGGTTGTGGTGACATCAATTATACTGGCATCAGTTGTGGTGGCATCAGTTGTAGTGGCATCAGTTGTTGTGGCATCAGTTGTAGTGGCATCGGTTGTAGTGGCATCAGTTGTGGTGGCATCTGTTGTAGAGGCATCAGTTGTGGTGGCATCAGTTGTAGAGGCATCAGTTGTTGTGGCATCAGTTGTAGTGGCATCAGTTGTTGTGGCATCAGTTGTAGTGGCATCGGTTGTAGTGGCATCAGTTGTGGTGGAATCTGTTGTAGAGGCATCAGTTGTGGTGGCATCAGTTGTAGAGGCATCAGTTGTGGTGGCATCAGTTGTGGTGGCATCAGTTGTAGAGGCATCAGTTGTGGTGGCATCAGTTGTAGAGGCATCAGTTGTGGTGGCATCAGTTGTGGTGGCATCAGTTGTAGAGGCATCAGTCGTGGTGGCATCAGTTGTAGAGGCATCAGTTGTGGTGGCATCAGTTGTAGAGGCATCAGTTGTGGTGGAATCAGTTGTGGTGGCATCAGTTGTAGAGGCATCAGTTGTGGTGCCATCAGTTGTAGAGGCATCAGTTGTGGTGGCATCAGTTGTAGAGGCATCAGTCGTGGTGGCATCAGTTGTAGAGGCATCAGTTGTGGTGGCATCAGTTGTGGTGGCATCAGTTGTAGAGGCATCAGTTGTAGAGGCATCAGTTGTGGTGGCATCAGTTGTAGAGGCATCAGTTGTGGTGGCATCAGTTGTAGAGGCATCAGTTGCCGTGGCATCAGTTGTGGTGGCATCAGTTGTAGTGGCATCAGTTGTGGTGGCATCAGTTGTAGAGGCATCAGTTGTGGTGGCATCAGTTGTAGAGGCATCAGTTGTGGTGGCATCAGTTGTAGAGGCATCAGTTGTGGTGGCATCAGTTGTAGAGGCATCAGTTGTAGAGGCATCAGTTGTAGAGGCATCAACGGCCGCCCTCCGAACCCTCCTCCGGCCCGTGCTGTCGACGGTGTCGTCGCTGGCCTCGTCCAGGGCCGCTCCCAGATCCTCCAAAACCGGGTCGATGTTTGTAAGCTCAAGAAGTCATGCAGCTACGTTTATGGCACTAGTGGTGGTAGGTACGGTTGTAGTTGCGGCTGCAGTAGTCGTTGTATCTGCGGAAGTTGTTGTGTCTGCAGTAGTTGTTGTATCTGCAGTCGTTGTATCTGCGGTAGTTGTTGTATCTGCAGTCGTCGTATCTGCGGCAGTTGTTGTATCTGCAGTCGTTGTGTCTGCAGTAGTTGTTGTATCTGCAGTCGTTGTATCTGCAGTCGTTGTATCTGCAGTAGTTGTTATATCTGTAGTAGTTGTCTCTGCGGCAGTCGTTGTGTCTGCAGTAGTTGTTGTATCTGCAGTCGTTGTATCTGCAGCCGTTGTATCTGCGGTAGTTGTTATATCTGTAGTAGTTGTATCTGCGGTAGTTGTATCTGCGGTAGTCGTTGTATCTGCAGTTGTTGTTGTATCTGCAGTCGTTGTATCTGCAGTAGTTGTTGTATCTGCAGTAGTTGTTGTATCTGCAGTCGTTGTATCTGCAGTAGTTGTTATATCTGTAGTAGTTGTTGTATCTGCAGTCGTTGTATCTGCAGTCGTTGTTGTATCTGCAGTCGTTGTATCTGCAGTAGTTGTTGTATCTGCAGTAGTTGTTGTATCTGCAGTCGTTGTATCTGCAGTAGTTGTTGTATCTGCAGTAGTTGTTGTATCTGCAGTCGTTGTATCTGCAGTAGTTGTTGTATCTGCAGTCGTTGTATCTGCAGTAGTTGTTGTATCTGCAGTCGTTGTATCTGCGGTAGTTGTTATATCTGTAGTAGTTGTATCTACAGTCATTGTTGTATCTGCAGTCGTTGTATCTGCGGAAGTCGTATCTGCAGTAGTTGTTGTATCTGTTCTTATATCTGTAGTAGTTATATCTGCGGTAGTTGTATCTACAGTCGTTGTTGTATCTGCAGTCGTTGAATCTGCAGTAGTTGTTATATCTGCAGTAGTTGTTATATCTGTAGTAGTTGTATCTGCGGTAGTCGTTGTATCTGCAGTAGTTGTTGTATCTGCAGTCGTTGTATCTGCAGTAGTTGTTGTATCTGCAGTCGTTGTTATATCTGTAGTAGTTGTATCTGCAGTAGTTGTTATATCTGTAGTAGTTGTATCTACAGTCGTTGTATCTGCAGTCGTTGTATCTGCGGCAATTGTTGTATCTGCAGTCGTTGTATCTGCAGTAGTTGTTGTATCTGCAGTCGTTGTTATATCTGTAGTAGTTGTATCTGCGGTAGTTGTTATATCTGTAGTAGTTGTTGTATCTACAGTCGTTGTATCTGCAGTCGTTGTATCTGCAGTAGTTGTTATAT